GTTTCCTCGACCCCACATCTCCACAAACACGTCCAGATTCAGGCGTTGGCAGCGTCGAGTTTCCTCAATAATGCCTGAATGTGGACGTTGCTTGAGTAAATGTGCAGAAATCGCGTTGAGTTTCCTCGACCTCACATTTACACAAACACGTCCAGATTCAGGCGTTGGCAGCGGTGAGTTTCCTCAATAATGCCTGAATGTGGAGGTTGCTTGAAGAAATGTGCAGAAATCGCGTTGAGTTTCCTCGACCGCATATCTCCCCAAACACGTCCAGATTCAGGCGTTGGCGTTGAGGACTTGGCCCCTGGCTTCCGAAAGAAGGAAGAAGAAGAAGAAGAGGGGAGGGGAGGATATCGCCTAGACCCTCTCGAACGTCTAATTTCATCCTCACGCCCTAGGCTACCAGCCGGGCCGCCCGGGTCCGGGTGGCCAGCCCGTGCAAGGACCAGGAAAGGTCCAAAAAAAAAAAAAAAAAAAAAAAAAAAAAAAAAAAAAAAATCCACACACAAACTATGTTATGCAGAAAACTAAACTGATTAACTTCTGCCTCAGGGTCACATCGAAATTCTTCACCAAATGCAAAATAACACATAAAATATACGTCACAAATTTATCAGAGTAAATTCATTTTCTTTACAAGACTCCCGCTGTTCAAAACCTCTTGCGTACAAGGGCGCCCACGTGGATGTAGGTTGAGCTGCGGCTGCCCCCACCCCCGTGTGTCATATCGACACACTTGCACACAGCCAAAAGGCGAAGAGGCAAAGAAAAGAGGAAGGGAACAGCCAAACATTACAGAACAGGGGCCAAATGAATCCTAGATGACAAGTCCCACATGCAGACACCGCCCCCGACAGCACAGGCCAAACGACGGGACAAACCAGCTAGGATTCAAGACACGGGAACTGTGAGATGGTTGAACGATGAGCCAGGCCATTTCGACATAAATGAATACCAGAGAACAAATTCTACCATATCCATAGCAAAGAATCTGAAGCAAAGAACACCTTATCTGCAAAAAAAAGAAAGACAATCCCAGATGACCATTCCCTAGTAAAAGCACCGCCCCCCATGTAGGCCGAACAACGGGAAACAGCCAACCAGGATGCCCCAAGACGATAAAAAAAGAAGAACCCGGATGACCGATCCCACATGAAGCACCAATACCATTCTCCCAAAATAGACC